GATTCCCGTTGTACCGAGCATTTCTGCATTTTTTTAATCATAACGGTGGCAAGGCATCCGTCGGCATTGCGCACGAGCTGATGCCAGCCCAGAAAGTGCTCGCACCTCCGTAGTCTGCTTCGTCTCCAATAGAGCTGCTCGGGCATCCGAGTTCGCTCTGCCGGTTGGCATCGACGCAGGCGCCAGGGATGGAAGCCTTTAGATATACGTAGGGCACTCGGGGGGTTTCCGGATGTAACTTCATGGAGAGGGTCATGCGTTGAAGATTTTCTGCACCTTCGGCTCCAGGAGGTATGAGACTGTGTGCAAATTTTCAATATTTATAGGTCTTCAGGTATTCGATTTATGGCATTTCATATCCTGCATGCCTACAAGTGTTTTTTTTTCTGGCGTCAGTCTGTTTGGTGCGAGATTCATCTGTCATTGCTCACCACTCCCTTCAAAATTCAGCAAACCAGAAGAACGATATGCTGGATCACAGGGTACCACCCACAAATGAACTTTGCAACCTGGCAATGCTCTGCACTTGCGTTAAGCCACTCTGGAAATCACAAAAGTGCTCGTGGTTTAGTTCCATTGCCAGAGAAATAAAGCATGCAGATATGCAGGGTATAAAACAGCATAAATAAAAAATACCCGAGAGGTATACATTTGAAATTTTGCACACAGACTCATATCAAGTGGAGCTGAAAGTGTTGAAACACCTCTATGTGTGATCATTTCCATGAAGTCGCATCCGGGGATTTTTTGAGCGTCCCACGTATTCTACATAATCATGAAACTAAGCAAGCTGGAGGAGATCGTGATTTCGTGAAGTTGAGAAACCCGCACAGGGAGAAACTGGTCGGACTGGTCCTTTTCTACCCGGACCGGATTTGTTTCTATTCTCCCGTAAGTGAGAAGTATCGACACGATTTACATTTGATATAAAGTGATATGGAACGATTTCTCAATCAGCCTTTTTTTCCCCCCCATGACACTTCAAGGCTAGGCACCCATCAAACCATACTGGTTTAACCCTTTGACGAGTATGCCCGTATATATACGGGCTGACATCCTCCTGCCCTACATATATTCACTACGGGTGATCTAGGCGTTGAAAAAACCCACTCCTCAAAGGGTTAGACACAAGTTCTGTACTTTGCTATCGCATAATAGAGCAATTAAAGATGATCTGGTTTCCCCAGATTTTTCATCTACGGGCAGCCACTGGGTGACTCCAAGTTATTACTGGCAAGGAAATGCACTGTAAGGGGTGAGAAATTGTGTACTGTCAACTTGGGATAGCAGAATGCCACACCTCCCGTTTCGTACATTCCGCTATGGCAAGGATTTTGGCAGCAGCCCTGTTCGACTCATGAGGAATGCGAATGTCTCGTGAAGCTCGCTGCTAGGGCCATTCAAGAGTTGTTCACAGGTGTATGTTACATGGATACATGGACATGGACAGTGACGTCCATATCGCCACCCTGCCAACGAATGGGATTCGAGTTGACTGTCGGCTCTCGTTATACTCTTCACTCACTGGTCCTAAGGTCACAACGAAAGGTGAACTGAAGGAATAGGAGAGGGAGACGAATAGACGAATCCATCTCGTGATGGATGACGTCAAGGGCGGCGGTCAAGTTTTCCCGTTCGCCTTCACCAAATGAGACGGCTTCCATGCTCTCTATGGTTGACAATCGGGACGAGTGAGGTGGAGCCCTTGGACCCCTGTCCACCGTCCTCTGATCGGAATTTAGGTGTGATGCAAGAAAGGCCTTCAATGAAGGAACGCTTTTCCATTATCTGATACATTGGTGTTCAGCACCAATACGGACGATTTTTTATTTCTCATTTTCGAAAATATAACGGGTACGTTAACAAACTGGGATTCTATACTGTATCTTGTAGGTTTCGTTTCAGTTCAATATTTACTAGCTTTTCCAATTCGAAACTCTTTAGTTCAGTACTCACGGGCTGGGGAAACGCGCGATGTAGATACTCGTCCATCTGTCTACATGACACTGTCACTGTTCCCACCAAGCATGCAGGGCGTACAACATACATTGAGACAAGATATCGTAAAGTTCGGAATGGTGAGATTTCGCCTTCTCTGTGAACTTCTCCCAAATATCGGTGCACCTCACGAAACGGATTCCCCCCCCCCCCATTTAAACTAGTTCTTTCTCGATTGCAATTTCTACAAGCTGTCCTAGCTAAAGGAAGCCCTTATGATGTTGATAGTGTCGGACGGGTTACCTGGTATATTGGCGTAAAGCTTTAGGCTGGGAAAGGAAAGATTAACTGTATATGATCACTTGCTTCGGAATTCGCAGGCAGTTCCAAACTGAGAGACATGGAATCCATGGAGATTCTCTGTACAACTCTGAATTCTTGGCATATATCGGTTATGATGCTACTTGAATAGGTCTCAGGGGCACCTAAATACAGACACATGAATCGAGCTATTGCAACGCATCATGGAATGATAGTACATTTGCATCATTTGAAGGTTGCAATGATGCTAAGATGAGGTTCCCATGCCAATAATACTGCACTTTGACTCAATGAGCAGAGTAGAAGTAGCCAATGGCACATCATTTTTTAAGTCTTCCAATTAACACGTTGACGACCAGCCTATTTTTGCTTGTCCGCCGCATGGGACCACGCGCATTTTTTTGTCAAAAAGGCAGGACGCATTTTTTGACAAAAAAATGCGCGTGGTCCCATGCGGCGGACAAGCAAAAATAGGCTGGTCGTCAACGTGTTAACAGAACTAAACTTTTCTAATAAATATTACGCACGGTACAAAAATTTTTCTGGGGTTTGGGTGCTATGCTTATTGGGGAGATGGATTCATGAACCAAGAAGAAAAGTCCTCTCATGCAAAGATTTTCAAGAGACATGCAATGATATTTGGGCAGTACTTTTAGGAGCTCTTTAGTCCAGGGTGAAGGGACGCTTTCATAGCTGTTAGGAGGATTTCTATGGTTTATGCTTCTGGTTGGTGGTGTGACTAATTGAATCATATGAGAAAGCAGGTGATCATTGAAAAAACTTCCTGGCTTTATTGCCAAAGACATCACAAAGTCAAATTTGTCATTACAAAAATAGGAATTGCATCCCTCGTGCAATTTTCAGATTTTCTACTCTGGCTTTTGAGTCCAGATGTAAAACATCTCGATGGCCTCATTCAAGCCTTCAATTCGATTGTGTGATTAAGCAAACCAATCACTTGCTAGGCCAAAGAATAAAAACAAAAAGCTGCAAAATGACTTCTGGTTTGAACAGGCCGTTTCTGAAATTCACGGAGACATTCTGTGGAAGCACAGGAGAAGGAAAGGTAATAAGAGAAAAGGAAAGCGATGACATGATGTAACACATTGAGGAAGACCAATCCAAGAGCAGGCATTCACAGGAGTGATATGAATCACAGTTAAGGATCCATGGACGAGCAAAAAGATGGGGGCAATGATAGTGGGCTTGCTTGGGCAAAAGAGGAGGATGCAAATGCCTCCTATTTCTAAGGGGTTCTTTAATTCTGACCCAACTAAGAAGCTGATGAATTTCAAGTTTTTCAAGTTTAGTCGGGCTCAGTATCAGGAAACGGAGTTAGTATGAGAATTGGAGCACAAGAACTACAAATTCTAGTTCTGGCAGATGGAATGCCATGTCTTGCTAAATCATAAGTCATGCAATGGTTACACTCATGATGACAAGGAATTCGAGGTGAAGTGACTTTGAAGCAAAGAAGAATCAAAATTGCTGGTGACACTGCAAACCCTCCAAGGATACATATTTTTTCTTACTGAGTTATCCAAGTCTCTGGCTGTTAAGGACATCCTGTAAGAGTTGCAGCAAGCAATGTGTATGGGTAAACTAAAAATTGGAATTTACATGAACTAAGGTTGGATAAATACTTCTTGTCCCCAGTAGCACAGCAGCATGAGATATCTATATTGGACCAAGATCAAGATCAACATTCGTCAAATGTTGAAAATGCAACATTTTGACCATTATATTGGGAGGAGTATGGTGCTAATGTTGAACCCTATATTTTCCTGTAATCCTGTAAGCCAGCAGGCTTCAAGAATTTTTCAGTTAGCAATTTTGAATGGCATGTCACTTACAAAGACAAGTCTGTTTATTCCCTGAGTGTCTATAGACATAATTCTTGGAAAATGGAAATGAGGAATCATTATTATTATAATTTCCTTCATTTGAACCAGAATATATGTAAACGTGTAATAGATGTCTTTGGTTAGGGTGAATTTCAGGGAATGCCAGGAAGGTATTTTTGTGAACTGCAAAGGAACACCTGTGATGTTATCTATTTGTACTGAGGAGAATTTCAATTTTCTATCAATGTGAAAAATGTATGCCCCATATCAATCCATCAGTAATGTGTAATTTTGGGCACACATCATCCATTTGTTACACACTCCCAATACTGTATTAATTATCACTGGGAAACCACTGGACCAGTATTGGATTTCTATTAACAGAGATATTTTCCAAGCAAAAATAACCATTTAAGGACCATGATTGGGTTAATAATGCATGCATGCTACTGGGGTTGGCTCTCCTGCAAAATTAATAATAATATCTTCTGGGGGTTTTCCATCATCACCTTTTTTGTGTGACCTCTTAAAACAACAAAAATACAAAATCGCATTTGCAGCTTGATTTATTGCCACATTAGAAATTGTGAGATTTAACTACCCTGCAAAAAGGGAGTTTATATTCTTATGATGATTACCACCTGTCATGGCATTCTGCATAAGGGCACAGATGGGTTTATCCTTGTAGAAGGCACTTAAAAGTGCTTATTGCTGGCCGTGGTACTGTGTCTCAATTTGTACCAGCTCAATATTTTTCAATAAGCACTTTAGTAGACAGAAGGTCAAATTGTAAGATGTGGAACTGGACTTTATGCTGTAATACAGAAACTTCTGAAACATTTTCATTTCAGAGCTCCATACATAATGTGCTCAGAGCTCCAAAATAGGAGAAAATTGCATAATCACCAAAATTGAAAGAATGGGGACATATGTCCATTACTGTATTTTGTACTTCCCATGATACTGGCTATGTGATTTTGTAAATATTTGATTTTAAGAGGTCACAACTCATAGTATGGAGAAGTGGAAAAACAAAATAACATATTTTCTTAGAAAGCCTCACCACATAGTGGGATCTCAAGTGATATACAGCAGCTTTCTGAATGTCTCTGAGGAGCAAAAACACAGGACCAAGTACAAATCCATGCCATGGAACAATTGGCCAATTTGAAGGCTGCACAAGCTTTCTTGCATATCAGACACCAGCACCAATATGAAGGATATGGAGTTGCCTAGCAATCCACCCCATCATTCGCAAGAAAGACAATCACAGACTTTTTGGAAACTATGCCATCAACTGGACAGCAATGAGATTGCATCCTTCATAGCATGATATAAAATGTTCTTGATCTGAAGCTTGTCTTCATGGTTTGAATGGGTGTCAGACAAATGCCGAAACTCCTGTGTGAGATGGAAGCAATGAGTCACATTCTCTGGGGATACAAAGTCCTCTGCAACCTTGATGCAGTTGTGGAGATTCTGCACCTGCAGCACACCAAAAAGCCATTTGACATTTATATGTACAGTCAATCTTCAAAGGGGTTGAAGTATGATATCTTACCTGATGAGGTGCTCCAGCAGGGATGAACACAGCATCACCAAGGCACTGAGCAATTGCATAACCAGTGACCTTGTAATCATAGTAGAGCCTGTTCCTCAGGGTTGTATCCAAGTATGTTGCCTGGTCATGGATAGGGTCTTCCTGCCAGGATATCTTCTTCCCCTTTTCCACTGAGATTCGATTCAGGAGATCTCGGATCTTGTCTGCATCTTCTGGGTGATATATGTGCCACAGAGCACCAGGGATGTCTCCTTTCTCCCGTACTCTCCGAAGAGTGAGATAATCACATCCTCCCTCTTGGAGGGCCTTCAATGCACCTGAATGAAAAAAAAATTATAAACTCTCTGTCAGTTTACTGTCACTGATTTCTGAAAAATGAGTCACCTTGCTTCACTTTCTCTCGGTCAACACCCTCTGGTATCCCAGTATGGACCATAACATTTACAGCATCTGAAATGTCCAGGTGAAGATTTGTGGTTCCAACTGAAGGATGCACAGTGCTTCCATATGCAATGTACATTTTGGGCCCAAGATCAGGCTTCACAAAAATGTTTGGGAGACGAGAAGAGAGGTTCAGAACTCCTTCTCTAATTGTATACTCTCCAAGAGGGAGAGCTTGCATGAGATCATCAAAGCGTGATGGAAGAAGGTCCTTGAAATCCATGGCAGGGGGCCAGTCCTTCAACTTCAGCAGCATTTTCCTTCCTTCAGTATCCTGCAATTGCTCTGTATTAAAAAAGGAAATCATTAAAAGCCATTAGGCAATCTATTTGAACTCCTCAGTCTGTAAAGACCAATCGGTCAGTCTTGGTGGCTCAGCCATGCAATGCATAACATACATTTTAGTTCAAAGTGTGATAAAGTCTAATGCCCACAAGATCTATACATTTATGTGACAACACTTAGATTTGAAAGTACAATTTCTTGAATGAAAGTTAATGATCTCCCTAAGGAGGTAATATTCACCATTGACATCCTCAAATCCTGCCCAGAATTTTTTCATCTTCTTCCCAGAGACAATGCGGCCAGTGAGGCAGTTCACTAATTCATGTTTCTGATTGCCAAATTCTTCGCAAAAGGATGCTGGTGTCCACAGATCCATGTTGAGATGGTGATCAACGTTTGACACTATAACAGGATGTCCTCGCAGCCACTGATGCTGGAACAATCATAGATATAGCTCTGAATGCACATATGTTCCTTTTAAGGATCCTCCCATGCACAAGAGAGAGCCTCTTGAACATGGGAAAACATAAGAAGCAAATACCTGGAACATGCTTTGATTCCCAGAATGTTTAGGGTCATCTAAGCAAAGCAACTTTCCTCCACAAAACCAGGAATGTGGGACGCTTGGAAACATCCTGCTGACAGTGTTGCAAACCATCAATGCAGACTCTACTTTCTCATTATTGGGTTGCTTCCCTCTAGGATATTCACTGCCATGTTGAGAAGGTTTGCCGCCACTGTCCATCTGATGTTTGGGAGAGAAAGTCATATGATGTATTCCAGGGGGGTTTCTAAAGTTGGCTTGATGTCACTTTAAGAGATACTGACTTGAAACAATATGCCATATGACATTAATGATACCAGATTAGTAACCTTGGCAAATGAGCATTTCTTGATGGGAGCAAGCCCAGACTTACAATACTATATGTCCACAGCTAAACCCTCTCTCCTCATAGAGGATTGAGTCACTTCTCTAAAAGCATCCTGTTTTACAGTAGGCACATTAAATACAGTTCCAATGATGCAAATGTGAGTGGGTGTTTTAGTTTTAACCCTTTCAGTCTTGACAACTCAGGAGTGGGACTCCTGAGTTGTGTCAAGACTTTTTCTTATACTATGCAGGGCTATAAAGGAATGCATGACCTTTAGGCCTAGGGAAACTTCTGAGTCTCTATGAGCTCTTTTAGTATTTGTATATTTGTGGTTAGTGATACGTTTTTATGGATGGTTGAATAAGAAAAATTTGTATTTACATCATTTACATTTTAAAACTCAGGACTGAAAGGGTTGAAAAATGTAAATGACACCCCATGGTTACCAAGGTCAGGTCCAGGGGTATGAACCACTTGCATGTAAGTTCATAGAATCTGGGTTCCTGGAAATCATGCACCAACCCTGGAGCTTTCATGCCATCTTGGCAAATACAGAATCTGGAGCTTCAGTTGAGACAGTTTTGCATTAGAATGTGAGTCCCCAAGAAGAGAAGGGAAAAAAACTTCATCCAAAGGATTGTAAAGTTTGCTGTGGAGCCACTCCTGGGGCTCTAGATCCACATCTACTTAGGCCTAGGCCATCTGACATTTCCACTGTCAGATATGCCAAAAGCAAAGTCCAGAGAAAAATCATCCAATAAAGCATGATGCAATCATGCTTAGGTAGATGGACTTAACTGGACTGTGACAAGTGGTGGTGGTTTACATGGGGAGCCCAAGGGAGGGTTATATTGAAAAGATAGTACACAGTGGGCCAATAAATTAGACACCACTTTAAATCTTCTTGTATCTTTTAAATGAGTGCAAGGATGTATGTGAATTTTTAATGTCACACACCTGTCCATTTTCATTGTCTCTGTGAAAACTTGTTGAAAGTCAGGAGAAATCTGGAGATTAGAGCAGTTCATGCTTTCTGGACAATGAGTGTGACATGCTGTAGCAATTATGGTTTATCACCTATTTTACAAAATATCTATATTCAATATGAAAGTAAAAGTAAAAGTATTGTAAAAGTATTGAAAATTTATCTGAAAATGGAAGCTTTCTCAACCAACTGGCACAACAATTATTTTGGTAATAGAAAATTTGGAAAGCAATGCATCCTGTTGTTAAGAGTGTGGCCTGGTCAGAAAATCAGTTGGCACATCCATCATGTGGTCAAATAAAAATTAAGCTTTTTCAATATCACCTGATTATGATAAATTTTCGCTATTGTAAGAGGCATTGAAAACCCATTGAAAATGTTCAGAAACTGCCTGCTTATAAAGGGAAGTGGATCAGAACAAGCCAGTCCATGTTGGCACAATGCAAAGCTCAAATGACTACTTGTGAGAGAAGGCTTCATATTAGTTGAGCCAGCAGATCTCACTGGACATTTTTAAATGTTAGTTTCTCTGAATCCCCTGAAAAGTTTCAGCCTGGTTTTGCAAAAAACTAGGACAATAGACACGAATGTGCAGTATTACAATTTAATTGATATCCATGTGTTCATTTAAAAGATAGAGGAATTTTAAAAGCAGCTCCCAATTCATTAGCACATTGTGCCTTTGCAATAGCATAAATGCCAGTGGCAGTCAGGAATCTTTTCCCCCATATATGGCAAGGCGATCAATTTCTTACAGTGAAGAAAATCATATTCCACAAACCCTGGGATATGATGCAAACACTCATCACACTAGAAGGCAGTTTTGATGCCAATTTTCATGGAACAGTTCTTCAGGACTATCAGATGGCAAAAACTTTACCATATAAAATAAAGTTCATAAACCAACCTTTATAATGGCAGAATGCAGTGAATCTTACACTAGCTTCCATTGATCAGGCCTACAAAGTACCAAACTGGCAAGTGGGTTACAAGGAATCCTTTGGCTTAGATAAGCCAAATCTGCATGAAATTTCAATGAGGATGTTGGGAACATGTCTGTCAGTAGCTCAAGTATTAAAAAAAAAAGGAGGTTCAATAAGATGTATGAAAGTTAAAAAAGTCTGGGAGGCTTCTATTTTTTGTCAGTCAATGCTTCAAGAGACTAGCCATGCTTGGAATTCCCTTGTACCCTTTCATCATAGATGTACCCCACATCCAGAATATCACAGAACCATAACCTTGCCCAGCTTGGAATTCCACATGCAGCAGAGACAAGTGTCTCCTGCAAGCAGAATATTGCTCAGATTTAAGCACTTCTAAGAATAAAAAAAAAACTAAGATTAAAACCTTTACAGTCCATATCAAAAGGTCAACACCTATGCATGAATTTACACAATAGTTTGTGCCATAAAAATAGTAAAAAGACTATTTTGAATTTAAGCTTCTGATTGAGGTGATATTGCCAAACTCTGCTCCTAACTGTGAGCACTCCATCATCTTCTAGGGTGGGCTAAAGCCTATGGTTTGACTAGCCCCAGGCTAGGAGGACCCCTCCTCATGGCAGAACACATGGAGATGAGGGTAGCTATAGCTCTTCAAATTTAATCTAATTACTTGAGCGTGGACATCTCAAAAAGTCAGATACTTGCTCTGGGCTGCAATATAGGCAGAGAGGAATGAGAGTTGCAAACATTCTAGCTACTCCATTGATGAATTCTACTTCTTTCACCATGGCACTAAGGTATTTAGTTACAAGATGCATCTTCAGCTCTCAGCTTACACAATCCATTTGCTCCTCTTGTTCTGAAGCCTGCTGCTGTTGGTCGTTCCTTGGTCTAGCTAACATTCCCAAGAATTCCTGGGTCATTGATTCCACGAAGTCCTCAGAGGACACAGAGTCTCCATCTCTTTCATCTGTTATGTCCTCTTCCTTTTGGAATGTACCACCTTTCCTCTGAAGATATGTACAAAATGCAAACTCCTGCTTCTTTGTAGGCACCTGTGGGAAAGCCATTACATGGTGTAATGGTATGGTTACTTATACCAATCTGAATTCCCAAGAGAGTTTCATATTGGGTACAGAAGAAAAACAGGAAGACAACCAGGCAGATCTCAGGCTCAATTACCTCTCCAGACTCAACGACCTTTCGTGATGGTATGCCCAATGCTTTCCCAAACAATGACACCTCTTTATCAGAGTTTTCTTCTGTCTGATTTTCCCACTTCATTAGTGGGAAAGCATTCTTGATGGCTAGTGCTGGTAAGCCCAATGTCTTCCCACATGATGACAACATTACTTTCTCCTTCCCTTCCATCTCATTTTCATGCTTCATAATAGGATTTTCACCCATTTTTGCTATTTCAGTCTCTTGGGCAGGGGTGTCCTCTTTGATAAGACCATCCTCTCTTGTCTCACAGAGCCTGTCATTAGCTTCACTTGAGGCCTCTTCCTTCACCTATAAGGATAAAAACGTGACTACTAAATGTGCAAATAGAAACAGATGGAAAAGATCAGCCTGCATGCAATGACTGCTCAGAAACATGACTAGCTCACCATGCAGGGGCAGTCCAGAGAGACATGAAATTCCTTCCTCAGAGAATGGAGTTTGGTTGACATTATTCGTAAAATCTCTATGGACGGTATGACATGAGCTTGAGCCAGTTCATCTATGTCATGGTCACTACCATCTGTGCACAGCATCCATGAGAAGATGTCTTTGTTCATAGTCCTAGCTTTTTCATCATCCAACAACCACATCTTTGCTGATCCTTCTTTTCGATCATTGAAACAATCGCTGCATGCCATGAAGCCACACTTTTCACAAACCCAGTGGATGTTGAAGATGGTTGTTTGACAGACATCACACATCTCCCTGACTTGTTCCTCCACCATCTTCCAAGCTCTTTTCTTGTCTTTTTTTTCAGAAATGGAATAAATAAAAAAAACAATGGTAATGAAAGTGCAGGATTTGAAGCTACAATACTGGCAACTTGAGCCTTCCTTTGGAAGACAAAAGTAGTTCCACTAAGGAGAGACCTGCACTAGTACATAGTATTTTATAAGACTAAGGGTAGAATTTTGAACAGAGAACTATCTGATAATGCAGCTTTATTCCAGGAAAAATGTATGATATTTCTTGGAAATAAAAAAGCATTATTGGATAGTTCTCTGTTCAAAAATCAATCCTAATTCTCCATCTCCAGTGGAACCCAATCCCTCCAGGAAAACTGACTCCAGTGCTATTATGCAAGCATAGGACTGGCAAAACCTACTTAATTGGCATAAGAATACCAGACTCATTATTTTCTACAAAATCATTCATGTCACACTGCAACTTGATGCTCAGATGTGATTGACTAAAATTAACAACAGAACAAGGGCAAGCAGAGCTGATCTCTGCATCATGTTTGTGCTAGGACTTTCTTGTTTAGCATATTTTCAACCCTAAATTGTTGCAGATTGAAATGCTCCTCCCCCAACTATAAGAATCACAGTAGAATCCTCACTTACTGTGGAATCTTTCAAAAAATCCCTCTCTAACCAATAATCCACCTACCTTAGAGCCTGCTGCTACCTTTGCTGGGTATTGCAGTATTTTTCCAGATCAAGTCTTCAAATTTTGGCATGATACTGAATTGCCAAACCCTCTCATTGAGCATAAGAATCCAGTTTCTGTTCATCTTATAGTTTTGGACTTTATATACTTTATAGTTTATATAACCATAGTTTTGGACTAACAATCACATTAACCTTTTACATTACTCTACAGATGCATAGTCATAAAAGGAGAGACAAATTCTGGATGTTCCAGTTCCAGACAATACTGTTCCAGCATTCCAACAATATTCCACTGGAAGTAATAAGGAATGTCATCAGAATATGTGGTCAAAAGTCGCCACATGTGCAATGAGGCAGGAAAAATGGGACTCATGTAATGAGCTAAGCCACAAAAATACATTTCTGTTTTCAGCTTCAGTGACAAATATTTTTCATTGAGTGAACCTCTCTTACAATAGCCATTCTCAAAATAACAATGCATTTGAATTTCAAATTCAATAATGGTTGCTGTTAACCCTACTCCTTGATGAGATTTTGAATCCGGAGAATGCCAATATTAAAAAAAAGAGAACCTCCAAAAAGAAATTCTAGATTCTGTAGTCTAGATTCTAGACCCAGTACATCAAGATTTTGTACGGTAAAACAATGAATCATATAAGCGTCAGAGCTCATAAACTTTGGTTTATGAGCTTTTGGCAATTATGCTTTTAGCAAATATGAAGGAAATTAATATAGTTCTTATGCTTAATGGATGTACCTTCCAAAAGCATTTTCAGTCAGCTGGTTTTTTGCAAAGTTACTTTTTGAACCCAATGAGAGTAGAAACAATCAATAAATGAGTCTCCAGTTTTTGAGTGGAGAAAATAACATAAGACCTTGAAATTTTTGGAAAATGGTATTATATAACCACATATCATTACTTCCAATGCCTATACCTCTTCAGCTTTGTTAACTTTTTCAGATCTTTCCCATTTGGAGTAGAAGCCCCAAGTGACACAAATATGCCTTCAACATGTGTCTCCAAAGTAAGGGCATGACTTTTAAAATCATAATGCTGGAATAATGTCATTAACATCAACATCTACCTCAGTGCAAGTCTCTTCACATGACATGACTCCTAGGTTTGCATGAAAATGCAACATGAGACTTACTGTTTAAGATTCCTAAAATTCATGATTGAACCAATATTGATTATGAATCAGCAGTCAGTGTGCTAATATAAGATTTCAGATATAAAAAATTCAGAAAAAATATCAAACACATGCTTTCCTGAAGACTTATCATGTGCAAAGAGTCTTGCATATGTGATGAAACCATAAGCTAGTACCTTTGGTTTCCTCCATTTGAGAAATTTGCTGCATCAGCAACTTGCAAAATTCATCACCAACATGTTTAAGGTAGAATGTGGCCTTTTCACAAGACAATCCATTTCCATTGGATTCAGACTTCAAGGGCATCCACAACTGTGCTTGCTTTTCCAGCTGTTAAAGAAAGATTGATATACAGGATTGCAAAAGCATCCAATGATTGCTTTGAGGAGTCTGAATGATATCATATCTTTAATGAGGGATGACTCACAGAAGTGGCCTTGGCATCCTCCAATGAGAAGAGACCAGCTGGTTGCAATTTGTCATCCATCATATGGAGCTTCCTGAACTTGATGAAGCGACAGTACGTCGATGTAGACTTCCTCTTGATCAGGTCTGCACAGTCTTGACAGCAAGGAAACTCGGGAAATATTTTGACTAATTTTGCACAAGTTTCATCTTGAGAGATAATAACTTTATCTGCATTCTCCCAAGTGAATTTCTTTGATTTCTGTCGTCCTCCACTGGGTTTCCTCTTCTTCACTGGAATCTCAGAAATTCCTTTGTCCTGAAAAAAGTAGGCAAAATATATGCAATTATCATTCTTAGTAGTGACTGAAACATGGGAAAGAGGAAATAAAACTTACACATTCTGCAGCATCCTGGGTCTTTACCTTCCTTTTCCTTGGGATGCTCTTTTTTTCACCATAGTTTAGAATGGCATTTCCAATTTTCTTGTTCTCCTTTGGCATCTTCTGGCATGACTTTATTTTTGTACTGGGAATTTTTGATGAGAGAATCTTCTTCTCTGTTGAGGAGTCCCCTTGACTGATCAAGGCCTTAATAAAAGCAGGACTATGTGAAGTAGAGAGCAAAGTCTTCTCGACTGCACAGCTGGAATTTGAGTGCACTGTCTTCTCTACTTTAAAGCTGGAATTAGTGAGCAATGTCTTCTCTACTTTACAGCTGGAATTAGAGTGTAATGGCTTCTCTACTTTACAGCTGGAATTAGAATGCAATGTCTTCTCTCCTTTACTGGTGAAACAGTCCACTTGATGCAAAACTCCACGTGGATGCACATCAAGTTGTATTTGTACTCTAGCCGATTCACTGCAATCCTGACGTCTCTCACTCACACTGTGCATTTGGGCAATATAATTCCTGAACATATTTGGGAAAGCTGATGCTGTGCTGACATTTAGGGGTAGTCTTCTGACTAAATTATTTCCAACAGAGCTTGGGGAAACTCTGGAATGATGTGAAAACATTTTCTCAATCTTCCCAGAACGGACACTGAGATCAAGTGGGATGTCTTGTACCATATCAGGTGCTGGATTTGGCATACCATGTGTAGAGTGGTCAGCAAACCCAGACCTTGTAGGCTCAGGTTTTTTCATATGTACCTGTGGGCAGTGGGAAAGGGCATTCAAACTTGCTGAGGAAACAGGAGGAAAATGAGCTACTGATGCCACTTTTTGGACACCAGTGCTGAGATGATCAATACCAGTTGGTACACATTGTTCCTCCCTAGCTGCATCACTCTTTGACAGAGACGGAGATGGGGGAACCTGCAAAGGGTTTGCCATAGATTTCCAGGTCTTATGCCTGTGCTTTGGATGGTCTGACAAATATACTTTTGGATTTTGAGAGAGATATGAGGACTGAACATATTTCAGGCCTTGCACACAAGTATCATTCTGGATGGAAGACTGAGGGCATTTCAAAGATGACTTCTCATACTGAGTCCTGAACAATGTCTGCTTTTGCACTTCCCCAGAGTTAGATTGCAGATTTGTCCAAGGCCTTGATATAGGTGGGGGATATTGGTGGCAACCCCCAGGAGAAGGATGAGGAATACTAGCAGAAGAAACTGGTGGACTTGGTCTCAAAGGAGGCAAAGGAGAAGGAATTCTGGGACTTGAGGCACAAGGAGATGATCCACTGAATTGCATCAATGGAAGAAGGCTGTATGAAGTTCCACTCTGAGAGGAATTCATAGAAGGTTCCCATGTCCAGGGGTTCTGAGGCAGATGGTACGAAGAAGCCAGGCCTGAAAGACTCTCCATAGGTACACTATTTGTTGAATGTCCATCTTGACGTGGCATCTGCACTTTGTACAACTGTAAGCAAAAAAACAGTCATTCATTACCACTCTGGTGATTCACCAGTTATTTCATTGTAACAGTGTTCTCAGCATAATTCCTGAAGCAAATTTTTATATTTGATCCAATAAGCATGCGGCTGACATGGTGTTCAATACCTTTGAGAAATATGCTATTTATTATATCATATAAGGCCCTGCTATTTATGATATACCATATATGTAACAAATATTGTCTTTTTTCACATAAAATCATGGGCAGGATGAAACCATAGCTAATTATCCAATATGCTTCTCAAGTAATTTATCCTGTGACTTCCAGGCATTCTAATGTTTTGTTTAGCTGTCAACCAGCCCATGTGGAAGCTCCAATGAGTCAAATCATGCTGTCCCTGGTCTCCTAAACATGTTCTGACTCCTGGATTTCAGATTCAACAATTCAAAATGTTATCCAAGGGAGTCATCTCAATTAATGAACTATAGAAGCTCGTGTTATCCATTTTTCCACAATCACATGTGGGTGCAGGCATTGGTAGACATTGAAGAATGGGAATCAGTATCAGTGACACCTAGGTGGGTGCATTCCATGAATCCCAAGACACTATCCTGTCTTAACTCACAGCATAACCAGGACAGACTTGATAATCTGTGAATCTGGGTGCTTGACATTCATCCATTCTAAAAAGATTACAGGACATGCATTCCCCTCTCCATGGGTTGTCAGATGGATGCATCACTCAGAGTGGTACTTTCCCACTGGGCAGGAGGGAGTATGAAACATTATGCAAAGGGTGCAGGTCATTTCGAAAGGAGTAGGAAGAAAAATGCCTCTAATGTGTAGCAGCAGGTACAGAAGCCAATGGGAAACACTATAAGCTTCCTATATTCCCAACACCCAATGACTGGGCATTTTCTTATCCAATTGGAGTACAAATTTTGGTGGTGTGACAGTGGTTAAATCTGCAAAAATTAGCATTTATGCAATCACAGAAAGTTTTGACATGAACGATTTTTCTTCATAAATGACCAGAAAACTATCAAGAATCTACTACAAGTATTGAATGGACTGTATTTGGAAATGTGTTTATAGAAATGTATTTAGAGAATATCAAACAAAAAACATGTTCCAACACGTCAAGCGAAAAGTATACCTGTCTTAGTACTGCAATGGGTTAATGCCAGGGATAAATATCCCAAGCTGGCAAACATAACTGATACATGAGTGCATGGTTGTTATTTGAACTGAGAAGCTCTTCAAAGTGCATTTTTGTGAGAAGTCAGAGTTGACCCAAAAGTTCATTGGCTATATTGCAAACCAATTGAGTGAGTCATTTGTTCTCTGAATACTCACTTCATGGGGAGAGGGGGGGGGGAAACTTGCCCCAGCAAAATTCACTATGTTGTGCAAGTGGGCACCCCTGACCTTGGGTAAAAGGGACCCTCATGAGCTGAAACTTGGTACAAAGGGAGCTGTTTAGGTGCTGGTTTTAGAGATAATCTCACATTTGGAATATACAGGGTGTAACAAAAATCCAGACCCAAAGATAATTTAAAATAATTACTGTGTATCCCTTTGTTTTAGGTTAAGTAGAGGACAATGAATGAGCACACACCTCAAGAGAAGGTGGAATTTGTTCTATTGTTTGTTGCCCATTATAGTGAGAGGAAGGGATCTGAGATATTTCACTAATGTGATCCTGAGAAACCAATGCCAGGACAGCAAATTGTTGGAAAAGTTTTGGAATAACTCATGTTGATTGTGTTAAAATTTCTTCAGAAATGTTGAGAAAAGTTCTATCAAGCCTTTGTGACAGAAGTAACATATGCATGCAACTTAATGCCATGCAGTTTGAACATTTGGTGACATATCTATAGTATGATTCTAGACTTATTTTACACCCTGTAACAAAATGTAATGTACCAATTTTCATTAAAATTTTTTTTGTTCCAGGAAAATATCTATGTGCAACAGAAATATTAAATTTCATGCATAAACAGCTCTCAAGTTGCTGATTTTAGGAATGTTCTTACTTTTGGGAAACATACCCTCAGGCACATTCTTTTGGTGGACATTTTCAAGGAATCTTTTCACTAACAAATTGAGCAGACATAGAATGCTGGGTAAAGCATCCCAAGAGCCCTGCTTTTGGGGAGGGAGTAGTAACCCACACATTTTTTCTGTTCTACTAACAGTTATGTCATAAAAGATATTCTATGAAGAAAAAGTTTAATTGGAGATCTTGGGGGGGGGGGAAGCAAAGAATCTTCTCATTTTCAATGTTGCTAACCTCAAGTAGGCAGTGACATCAAATAACCCAAAGTGACTTGACTTCACGATGGAAAATGCTTAAAATCCATGGAGTTTTTACCCACATTATAAGGTGAGTGCCAAAGGTGTGACTAATCTGAGTTTGTCCAGCAAACACACTATGTAGTTTGTGAATGGTGAAGTGGTGGAGAGTAAGGTAAAAAAAATATAGAGTGGGGTAAAAATGACTCCAAACTTTTAAAAAATCTCTGTTCTTTCTGCTATTACTATTATAAAACTTGCATCACATGTAAGCTGATGAGTTGCCATGAGACTTGCAAATTTTTTTTTTATTTCCAAGTAAGCTTTTGAGCAATTATTGCCAATAAGTGGGATATTGAAAAAGGACAAGATCTCGAATACTCAAGAATGTGAGTTTACTTTTGTTTTCATTTATTCTTTGCTGGATATGTATATTTTTTGTATCTTCTCTTCCAGGGTTTCAAAATAAACAGGAAACTATGTGCATATTTGAGAATTTTAGTGATGATTTTACAGTTTGATAACATAAATAGAGGGCTTCCTGAAGGTTTCTTGGAGTGTTTTCTATTGACTAGTTGCATGCAACAACTTGTACTGTTTTACCAGTAGCTTCCAGAACATAAACAAATTTCATTAAAAACTCAAGGTGACTGGTTATAATTTTGTTTCCCTGAAACTTGACATCAATGCTGTAGGAACATTGATGAGGTGGATTCAATTTGCTCCTGAGTATTGGGGCAAAAGGGCACCCATGAAAAGTATGAGATAAACCTATATATATCTGAGGATGTCAATTTGAAAAATGTGACATTAAGCAGAAACACAGCAAGTGGATGGTGAACTTGTCTACCCAAGTCGATGACAGTTAATTCATAACTGTGGCTCAGCAAAAATTGTACTTTGTAAAATGGGGGTCCACTTAGCCCAAACAACTCCCCAGAAGAGTAAATGGATCTGCAAGACATGGACAAATACCAGCATACAAAACTTACAAAAACTCAACCTGCAAGAGTGACTTTAACATGCTGATATGATAAAGGCAACGAGTTCTCACATTTCCAGAATTAGAAGCATGATGTCCAGTTGAATCGCTCATAGCAGATGGGAATGAAGCTCCAAAGTTGGACCTACAAGGTAAAAGAAAAAACAGGAATGTGAGCAGTTACTGAAAAATTGCTTTCACACTGAACATAATTACAATGAACTTGTATGATCACCTAATGAAACAACCAGTGTGGCTATGTGTATTTGACACTTTGGGATAGCAGTTCTATGCCTAGCCAATAAGTTACATAAAAGGTGCTACACATTGATGCCAAACATGGTTACTCTAGTGCAGGCAATAATAGGGTTATCCTAAT